GACTAGCTTGGTGCAGCCTTCTGGTACGAGCATTAGCCTTAACCGGTAAGGCAGACCGTCTTTGGGCACCCATAGAGGTAGCCGGAGAATGTCGGATCTATAGTTTAGATAGTTAAATATATGTATATATATGCTTTGATCTAATAAAGATACTGGTGAGGCTGCCAATAATTGGAAAAAAAAAAAAAATAAAGATTAATAATTTAATTTAAATTTAAAATACTATTGAAGGCAACATATTTAAATCTAGATTAATCTATATAATTAAGAATAAAAAATACTATTGCAAAGCAACAGATCAGACTTAAATTAATCTATTATTTATTAAGATTGTGAAAATACTATTACAAAACAACATCAGAGTTTGGGTCCTGTAGCTTATTGGTTAAGCTCTTAAACCTCCACAAACAAGATCAACAGTTCGAGTCAGGCTGGTAGCAAATTTTTAAATTTATTACTATAACTTTATGGAGCCATAATTGGATGCAAAGCCTAGTAGAAAGCCTAAGTGCAAGTATGGTTTTGGAATAGAAATTTCTAGAAGGAGATCTAATCATAGAGTGCAGGTATTACATGTAACAATGGTGTCACAGAGGTTTGAATAGTGAAACTATTGTATAAATAAGTTCTCAAAGGCACAGTTAACACCAACATCTCTTCACCACCACTTTAGACAATATCAACATCCCTACATCCAACTTGTAAAGTACTTACTTGGAAGGGTGATCATCGGATTGTGTACATAAGTTCTAATTCAGAATCATAGGTTAGATACTTGCTTGGAAGAGTAATATGACACTACCAAAACTGGAGTAGTGAGAGAAGCGATGAATATAAGGATGATTTGTAATAAAGGATTGGCCTTATCAAATCTGGAAGCACCTCTGGCAATATATATATTATAGGTTATAAGAAGAAGTTATCACTATAGAGGTTGTAATCTAACCTTGTACATATAAAAGACCAGAATCAGAAGCATGATAATACCTATATAGAAGTTTATAACTACTATAGAAGGACGTACTAAAAAGGTATGATCTTTTAAGCACAAACTGGTAACACTAATGCTAAGCCCTAATACACAGCAAACTTCATCAAAATCAGATATTACCTGAACTGTGGTAGGCACAACTAGTATAAATCGATCTATCTATATGGAAATTGTATCCAATTGATAACTTGTGGCGTAGTAATGTGTAAATCCTGTAGCGCAAGAAACTCTGAGAATAAGGCTTTATCAGGTACATCAAAGAACTGAAACTCATAAAGAGTGACTTTCTGATAAAACTAATTTGGAAATTGGTAGTTATACGATGTGAGACATGAGGTAAATATGGTAATAATAGAACCTTAATAACTTAGTAATAAATACAAAAATTCTGGCTATATATGAATAAGATATAGTGGCTTAGGTAGGTCTAGATTATAGATAAAGTAGTCTAAGTCTTGTATAGTTATAATATTAAATATATATCATAATTTAGAAAAATTGTATACAAGCACATATATTAATAAAAACACAAGGTATGACCTCACTTTAAAAAAAAAAAAAAAAAAAAAAAAAAAAAAAAAAGACATCTTCAAATCTAAATTAATTTAATTTAAATTTAATACTCTATTAAAAGAATACTATTGAAATAATACTATTGCAAGCCTAATATAAATAATATAATAAAATTTACTCTCTTCAATGATCACTTATATCAAACTTATAGCTAATAAAAACAGAAACTTGTTAGAAAAAAGTAGAAGAAACAACTACAAATAACAGTTCTTATAGAGGTCAAGGTTTTTTTTATTTTTTTGAACTCTACTGTATATTTAGTATGCAAGTTAAAAATGTTTATATACAAAATAACTGGCAAGAAGGTAGTGCTCTTGTACAGAAAATTTTAATAGAATCTCTGCTTCTGTTGACGAAGTTAAAGATAGTTGGTTTAAGGAAAACAATAAGCAAGTTTTCAACATATTTCTTATTGAAGTTTAAGGCTACCTGTAAACCAAAACTCTCTACCAAAGCCCTACTCTTTGTTCTTTATAAAATTTTAACAAAAAGTAGAAAAGTTGGTGTACTACATTAAAGGATCAACAACAACAATCACTGTCAAAAAAGGAAAGTCACATACAGGAGTACGTGCCTATTTTGAGATTAATAACATTTGATCAGTTATCTCAAAAGGTTATGGTGTTTATACTGAGATTTATAGAAGCTGAAAAAGCATAGTTTGCTTAACTTTGCCCAGAGACAAGTACTAGCATAAGAATACATTGCAAGATATTACACCACAAAAAAAATTTCAAACTTAGATCTCTACTCAAGAATAGATATTTTATATATTCTAATATAGTTATAATAACTAGTATAGAGTTTAAACTAGATTATTTAGTAGTACTATATAATTTTTACAATCTGGCACAGGTTTAATAGTGCTAACTTTGTTTTCTTTTCTTTGATTTTGTTTTTCTTTTATATGTTTTTTGGTTTTATTTGATTAAATAAATCAAATTTGGATGTTGAGATATCACCTCTTTTTTTCTTTTGCTCTTTGATTTTGTGTTTATATTTTGTTTAGTAAAAAAAAAAAAAGATACTGATATAGCATATAGCACTGGCCAATAATCAAAAGATTCATGCTTTTAGGAAGTTAGGAGCCCGAAGAAAGGCAAATAGCCACTAAGCGATGTCACACTTGAATTTTTAAGTTGAGTGAGTCACTTGTTGTAATTAAAGAAAGAATAACTATAGTTAAAAATTTTTGTAATTTTTGCTTGATTACTATCTTAATAAAAACAGTAGCAAGAGCAGTGTTGTACATTAGACGTGTTTATATTAAGTAAAATGTCTAATGTCCAAAATTGTCTAAAATCATTCAAGCTTATATCCAAAGTTTAAATAATTAATAAAATAAATTAAATAATATATAATTATATATTTTTTTAGATGCTAGATTCATTTATGAACGAATTATTTTTTTTTTTAATATTAATGGTGAGGCCATGCCTCTATCTTTATTGAATATTTAATTAAGATTATTATATAAAGCACTAATCTACTTTTAAAATATTATAAGAAGAATAGAGACTCAGACTAGTTTATCTGTGGCCTAAACCATTTATGAACAAATTATAATATATTATCTTAATAAAATTTTGAGTAATTTTAATTTAAAAAATTGTTCAAAGTGTATAAAAGTGTTTATGTGACAACACTGAGCAAGGATATGACAACTTAGTGTAGTTGGTAAGTTGTTACACCCCCAAGTAACAGGTTAAGAGTTCAAATTCCATTGACGACAAAATTCGAATTTAAGAAATGTGTTATAATAAACTGTATATAATCTAATAGGTCAGCACCTGTAACCTTGATCATATCAGCTTGTATTGTGAGGTTGTAAAACAGTAGTATTATATATGAGTCACATAAAATAAGTGATATGACTATATAAATCTAGGGGATAAGTACATACAAAAGCCCACTTAGCAAGTCTCAAGTAGAAAGGTAGCATAAACTTTTAACGATACTACGTAAAGATCATCATTGGCAATTAGATACTAGCAGTAAACTGGATAAAGACCAAGTATTTGGCAAACACTAATACTAACCAGGCCACATGTATATAAGGAAAAAAAGATTCAATCAAAATATCTACTAGTCCCTCCTAAGCTATTTGAATTGAGAGTTTGGGATGCAGTTGGTAACTAAAAATGGCAGTGATTATCTATAAAGTGTATACTGGGTTTGAGTAAACTCTACAAGGGCAGAAATAAGTAATGGTAGTGGCTTCAGCTTGCAAGTACTTGTTCTTGGACTTGGCATAAGTTACTGAAGTCTAGATTAGTCGGATTGTGGGTATAGAAAGCATTAGCAGGTTTATCTTGAGGACAAAAAGGACCCCTATAGGTGGGTTTGTTTTAAAGTTCTAAGTCAAGAATCCAAAAATAAAGGGGTATTAATATATTCTCACTTGGTTAGAGGATTAATGTATATAGGCGCAGAGGGTTTAAATAGATAACACAGTAGAGTTATAGGTATGACAGCTAGTGTAGAACTTAGTAATAAAAAACTACTTAAATAGGCAACCAAAAGTTGCACATGTGGTTAGTTGTATTCTTTATGGTATGATGTATACCATATTGTAAAAGTTATTAATAATAACCAAATAAAAGAACAGTGACCAAGAGGTCACCTTAAAACCAAAAAAAATAAATAAATAAAAACAGTGGCAAGACATGCCAAAAAAAAAAAAAAAAAAAAAATACTATTGCAAGGCAATGGATTTAGATTTAGATTAATTTATTTTAAATACAAATAAATTTATACTATCTATTAATTTAATTTAACTCTATTACAAGAATACCATTACAAAACAATAGATTCAGATTTAAATCTATTAAAAAACTACTATTGAAAAAATACCATTGCAAGATAACGGGTTTAAACCTAGATTAATCTAAATAGATACAAATATTTTTATTTTATTTATTATTTATTAAGAGAATATTATTGAGAGAATATTAAGATAATACTATTGAGAAGATACCGTTGCAAGGCAACGGGTTCAGACCTAGTTTTGAGTAACAAAATTGGTGCGGATAAAATATATGCTTTTTGAACTGTATAATCTAATTGGCTCGGAACTGTAACCGCGGCAAAAAAATTCGTGTAACGATCTACGTAAACTTATTGGTCAAGAGACGACATATAAATTCAACATGACACATTCTAAGTTAATTTTCACAATCGCATTTAAATCTATCAAACGCAAATGTTCAACATAACCTTTCAGACTTTCGAATTGTTTCAAAATGTGTTAACACAGACAATTACAAACCTTCCGGAGGTAGATGCTATCCAACTCAAACATATTATCTACTCAAAAATTAATGAACTCACGTCAGCGTCCGATTTTGCCATACTCTTCACTCTTTTCGCGTTTCTTTACGTCGTATTCTCGATCGTCAGAATGATATTTCGCTGGGTATATGGGACAGTGGTTGGAATGGTTAAATTTGGCTTTTTTATTTGTCTTGCTGTCTTTCTTTATTACATATATGTTAGTATCGATTTGAATAAGGGCAACGAAGAACTTAGAATAACGAAACAAAAGTTGGTTCAGAGCGTTAAAGGTGTAGTTCACGGTGATGCCGATGGATTATAATAATTTTATTAAAATAATTTTGAGTAAAAAAGGACTATGTACTAAAAAAAAAAAGACAAACCACAAATCGCATGTCAACTTTAATAGATTACACTCATATATACATGCTTGCTGAATGGGTGGTTTTGTCAAGAATTTAATAAATTTACAGAACGTATGGGTTTTCTGCTTGATTTTTTTTTTTCTTTTTACTTTATCAGGTGTAAAAAAATAGCAATAATCATTTTTTTATGTCAGGGAAATTCAGATTTTCCGGCATTAGATAATTCACGTGACCAAATATAATTCTTTACCGTTATGCTGTGCATATAGGCTGATATACATACCCTCAAATCATCCCTAGAGCATCTGAAGTTAGTAACGCAAGATTTTGCTCACAAATTCATTTTAAAACAGTCAAAATTAGGACTATTCCAGTGCCAGATTATTCCTCTCGTAATCCGCCAGCACCCTCGGCTGCTAGGGAAGTAGGTACTCGAGAACAAACCCATTTCAATCAAGAGACTTTGGATAATTCAGCTCGAAATCCGATCGTCATCGACGACGACGACGAGGATATTGAAGACGTTCAAGGGCAGACATTGGACTTGAACGGAGACGTAAAAAGTATGTATTACTTATGGAAAATTTAAGCTTTCAAGACTTTCCGTAGAATCTAAACTGCTTTATGAAACGGATTTTAGTGGATGATCTTACAAGTGGTTCGGATAGTGATTATAACAAATACTGGATCGATTGGTTTTTGTCTACCAAAGGAAATGAATATTTTTGCGAAGTTGATGAAGAGTACATACTCGATCGATTTAATCTGACTGGATTGAATTCTGAAGTTCAACATTATGTTCAGGCGCTTGATTTGATAACGGATTCTTTGGGCAAGTTTTGTTTTACGAGCATCTTTAGAATAAATTCTTATTTTTTTATTTTAGAAAGTCAGGTTATAAAATTTCATTTTGTTTGTTACTTTTAGAAGAAGAACTTGATGATGAGATGCGTGAAGCTGTCGAGAAATCTGCTCGTCATTTATACGGATTAATTCACGCAAGATTTATCATCACAAGTCGAGGATTAGCGAAAATGGTATGTAAAGGTTATTTGAGGGTTTAAGAAAAATGTACCATCTGGCTTGCCACCTTCCATCGATCTTTGAACCGATGGAATACTCAGATATGGTTTTCTTTGTGGGAAATTTTCCGCTCAGATTAAAGCTGACAAGAGATAGGCTCTCTATTGCACATATGCCAAAGACAATTACTTACTGATTTGATTACAATATGCATCAGCTTGAGAAATACAAAAAAGCAGAGTTTGGTCGTTGTCCACGCGTTTTATGTCACAATCAACCACTTTTACCCGTCGGCCTTTCTGATCAGCCATACACCAAGTCTGTGAAATTGTATTGTCCTCGCTGTGAAGATATTTACAATCCTAAATCCACGCGACATTCCAGCATTGACGGCGCATATTATGGCTCCACATTTCCTCATATGCTCTTTCAAGTCTATCCACATTTGCTTCCACCTAAGAGTAATGAACGGTATGTGCCAAGAATTTTTGGGTTCAAGATTCATGATATTGCCAAACAACATCGTTGGCAAGACCAACAAAGGGAGGAACAACAAAGAAGGATCACCGCGGGAACCGATGGAAACAATAATAGTTAGGATTGTCATGTGTTCCCGAGAGTTTGGGCGCACTACGCGATGTGTTGCTGGACAGCAATTACAAACACTGCCATTCAAGAAAATCGCAAACGAGGAAAGGTTGTGTGGGTTACCATGTATTTTCGTGCCACCATATCGATTAAATTGCAATTACGACAAAACAAATGAATAGTCTTTTTTGTGCTTTTAAATTGTCTTATTTTCCAATTAGTATATTTTTCTCGGTCCAGCGTTTATGTAATAGAGGTCAGTACTGTGCAAATTCTATGATCTACCGTATATATCATTGGCATTCTGGAACATCGTAATCTCAAAAGAAATATACATATAATGACTTTGAAAACCAGCATACTTAGTTAACAGAATCGAAATATCATACACGTGGTTGGTATTCGCACTTTTTGATCTTTACTCGGTCACACATTTTACTAGGTATTTAAAATTCATTCTAGTATACACATTATACGTCTTTTATATAAATCATAAATATCCGTTTATGATAATATGAAAAGGTCTTGATGCCATATTGCCATTTGCTATCATTTTTACATTTATCAGGAATGGTAAAGTTTGATTCTAAAGCTTTTAGATTCTAAATTAAACCTGGTTTTGTTCAGAATCAAGTTCATAAAACCTGTTTTTATCTATCTATCTATCTATCTATCTATCTATCTATTTATATATATATATATATATATAGATGATTTAACGTTAAGTAAATATATATTACAGTAATAATTGCTTGGCCTAATTTAAACCGTATTAAATTTAGTATTAAAGTTACTCCAATTTAGAATTTTATCTTTTTCGTTTTGCGCATGTGCGTTGTACGATGTACTGAGATCCGTGTAACGTGAGATTAAAACAAACGTATTAGTTTAAGGTAAGGTTAGAATAGAGTAATAGCAAAGAACCCTTACACAAAAATTTTACAAGGAATTTTTTTTATTAGAACGCTAAAGGTGGTTTGAGCTACTTTTTTTCGATTTCACGTTACACCTGATCTTACAATCTAATTGGTTGATTAGGTAGGTGCACAAATAGAGTTTGGAGCCGGGATTATTTTTCATGTTATAACCGGTTTTAATCGGTTTTAACATATGAAAAATAATCCCGGCTCCAAACTCTACAAACTCTACGCACAAATTATAAAACTCTATATTAAACTTTAGAGTTCGGCGGCTGCTATACATACCCCTCAATTTTGCTATTTGTACCCCTACTCCTGTAAATTAAAATTTGTTACCTTTGAGCGAAGATATCTTGACAACCACCAAGTCAGTTTCGATGTTTTTTTTTTATTGAATTCTATGAATTCGTAGAATTTTTAAAAAAGGTTCATCGAAATTGACTTAGTGGTTGTTGAGATATCTTCAAAGTCCTAAAAATTCAAAACGTCTATCTCAAATATACTGAGTTTTTTTCAAACTTTGAGCAAAGATATCTCAACAACCACTAAGTCAATTTCAATGAACTTTTTTTTATTTTAATTCTATTAATTTGTAGAATTTAAATAAAAAAGTTTATTGAAATTGACTTAGTGGTTGTTGAGATATCTTCATTTTAAGTTTGAGAAAATAGAAGTTGTATCAAATTTTTTTTAAACTTTGAAGATATCTTGATAATCTTTGAATCAATTTTGATAAATTTTTTTTATTTAAATTTTACAGACTTATAGAATTTAAATAAAAAAAGTTTATTGAAATTGACTTGGTGGTTGTCAAGATATCTTTGCTTAAATTTTTAACAAATTCAAAATATTTATTAAAATAAAAGTAGAGTCAAATTTTTCAAAAACTTTAAGCAAAGATATGTTATTAACTATTACCAAATCAATTTTAATGAATTTTTTTTTATTTAAATTCTATAAATTTGTAGAATTTAAATAAAAAAAAATATCAAAATTGACTTGATGGTTGTTAAAATATTTATACTTAAAGTTTAAAAAAAATTTAATATAGCTTCTATTTTAATTGGTAATTTGCCAGTCAACCAGAGAAGATCTGCAAATTTTTATAAGTAAATTTTATTATTGAGCTAAATGTGGAGTGCACCAATCTAAAATTTTTTTCTTACTAAGTAAATCACTCTTGAGTTCATAACAAAAATTGTAGAGCTCATCACGATGCATCTAATGGTGGTAAGAACATTAAAATTGGCCTGATGGTTCTTGAGAAATCTTTAAAAAATGTTTTACTGATATATAAAATTTCTTTAAAAAAAATCAATTTTTTTTTAAAGAAATTTTATATGTTTATGAAATGTTTTTTAAAGATTTTTCAAGAACCACTAAGCCAATTTTAATGCTCTTACTACTATTAGATGCATTTTGATGAGTTTTACAACTTTTGTTATGAGCCCAAGAGTGATTTAGTTAGTAAAAAAAAGTTTTAGATTAATGCACTCTATATTTGGCATAATAGTAAAATTTACTTATAAAAATTTGCCGATCTTCTCTGGTTGACTGGTAAATCACCAATTAATTGTCCGGAGCATAGTGGAAGACTTACATTTTCAAGAATACATATGATACGTGATCATCACATACTAGAGGGTATTGGCAAAATTTGATATCTGTTATACAGATCATTATTCATTTGTCTGACTATATGATTAATTAATAAAATAATACATTTGATTAGATGTTATGCTCTAGACTTACACCAGTTTTTGTTTTCCTAGTATATTAATTTTTTTAAACTTTAAATAAAAATATCTTAATAGTTATGGCAAATTAAAATAAAATCAGATTAAAATAAAATGAGTAATAGTATAAAATAGACAAGCTACCAAAAAATACAAATTTTTTGGATGTATTTTTTTAGCATTTTTTTAAGATTAGGATTAGGGTTTAAAAGCAAATTTTATAATAAACAAGTATAAGTAGATTTTAGGAACTCAAATAAAAATCTCTTATTTCATTTTAATCTGATTTTATTATAATCTGTAATAATAATTATCAAGTTATTTTTATGATTTTTTTAATTCAAATTTTATAAATTGATTGTCAAAATTTTTTTTTATTTTTATTTTTTTTACTTGGCTAAGAAAGCTAGTGAAGTTTTTATTACAGTAAATCTATTTGTAAATATATGTATAATTTTTAAATTATATTACAACTTATTATTAGGCTATGCTAATCTAATCAGTGATCTGATATTTATCTAACTGCTCTAATGGGTGCCTAAATATATCTTAATTACGCTATTAGTATGCTATGGCCAAAACCAACACTAGTAGTTAGAGTATTTTTTACTTAAGAAAGATATTGTTATTAAATCACTTATTAGTGGAGAGGATTAGATCCACATCTGATATTACTTTTGCATCTTGAAACTATTATATTTAGCTAGCCTATATTCCTTGCATTACTCACCTTTTCGCTTCTATATAACTCACAAATTAGTAACATTCGGGTTATAGATCCTGATGATCTTCCAGTTTGGTATGCTATGTTATTAGTTCTTCTAAGGAAATTCTGACAAAGGTCCAGGATTTGCAGAAACTCTTATCTCAAGCCAGAAACTGTTGTCTAGTTAGGTTTATCACATTACAGAGTTGATATTTCATTGATGGGTATTTCCTTTCACATTTCTGTTCAAGTGCTACTAACCCATATCTCAAACTAATTTCTGCTACCACAGTTTACTGCAGATGTCTCAGGTCTTAATATTATATAGTTGCTCAGTATGTTTCTCTATTCTTTTAAGTACTATCTGCTTTGGTGGAGTTTAGAATATTTCACAAGTATATATAACAATTCTGGTTGTATCTAAAGAGTTATACTAACCCCAGTAATACTATACTACTATATTATACTTGTTCTCAGCATATTGTTATGCAAAACCAGAACAATTCTGGTTATATTCAGAGAGTTATACTGATCTCAGTGATGCTATACTACTATTTGAATTGTAAATCTTAGATTATCATAGACTTCTATATAGATATGACCAGAGCTCAATTCAGTACTTTTATGTATACTTAGAATCTTAGACAACCTCTATATTCTTACCTTTTATAATATTTCCATTCTGCACTGCCAGAGATGTTTCTGCTTCTAGTAAAGCCAATCCTTTATCATAGTTCATTCACATATTTACTATTTTTCTCACTACTCCAACTTTAATAATAATGATTACCTTCCCAATCAAGTTTCTGTATCTTCAATCTAGATAAAGACTAATTTGCACAGTTCATTGACTAGCCTTTCAAGCAAGTACTCCACAAGTTGAATGTAAGAATCATCAGCAAATTATATATATACTGTATAATCTTATATAAGATATTATAACTTGTAATATAATGAAAATCTTACAATTGATATAATATATTACGTTATATATTACATTATATTATGGTAATATTATGGTTATTATTTCGAAATATTTTAAAATATATTGCAAAATATTGTGAAATAGACCAAATAAAAAAATGCAAATTATTCTACAGGTGTCACATATTCATATAGATCAATAAACTAATATGCACATTGTTTTGTAATATTTGGCAAAATTTTGCAAATTTTCATTATAAGTTTTCAAATATTTCGCAAGGTTTTATATTTATTTATTATTATTATATATTATATTTTATATTTATTAAATATATATTTTTAATTATTATAGTATATATTATTTTTATATTATTATAAATATTTTAAACTACTTTCGTATTTCATTATATCTAATTCTATTACTATATACAAAAACTAGCTCTATACACTTATTTTTTATTCTTGTGCAAGATTTTAAAAAAGTGCAAATAGTTGCAAATTTTCTTAAAAAATTCACACCTATTCACACTTTTTTAAAATATTATGCAATATTGTGTATCAATTATACAGTAAATCTTATATAATATTATAGTTTTAAAATTTGCTGATATACTTCTTTTGTTTTGGCAATAACCTTTATTTTGCTATCTTTTTCTAAATACTTCTAAGTGAAAAAAATAAAAAAATAACATTTCTCAGAAGTGTTGGTATTTTTGCAAATTGC